ACGGCTCATCTCCCAGCAGGAGATCTGATTAGTGCACCCTGCTGCTGCTGCTGCTGGTGCTGCTGTTGCTGCTGTTGCTGCTGTTGCTGCTGCTTTCACTTTTCCATCACTGCAGGAAAATACTTCCTTACTGTAAACAGATACACAGCTATATCCCTAAAGCTAAATAATAATAATAATAATAATAATAATAATAATAATAATAATAATAATAATAATAATAATAATACAGAAAAGGAGTGCACCAAGAACAGAGCCCTGTGGCATCGCTGGGCAAAGTCAGTCTCTGACAGGAACCAGGAGAGTTCTGGTAGGACAGATGGAACCGACCAAGGACTACGTCAGTGGTGATTTTGATGTGGGCAGTGTGTGGTATGAGGATTCCTCCTCCCAGAGGTTGGTCTTCACCTCTGTATCCTCCTGCTTTCACTTCTCTGGAGAATTTCATTTCCACATCAAAGCCCTGATGATCTGTTTTTGGATTTCTTTGGCCTCACAATGACTGCAGTTGTTTTTTCACACAAGACCAAACACTGCCTGGTTCTCTGCTCGGTTTTCCTTTGTTGTTTTTGTTCCCTCCTCTGCCTCCCCCGGTCCAGTCTGTTTTAATGCTTCTTTCTGCCCTCCCCTCTTTTTCTCATTATTGCCTTTTAACGAGGTGGGGCCATTAGCCTATCAGGAAGTCAGAGTGAATAAAGCTTTAAATTCAAAAGCCAATCCAGAGCTATAGTTGAAGCAGCAGCTTCATCCTACGTTTGGATTTGTTCTTCTTTTTAATTCATTCTGTTCTTGGGATTTCAAAGGAAATTCTCTCATTGACTTTTGTTGTGCTTTCATTAGCACAGCCTTGGTTGTTGTTGTTTTTAGCCGAACAAAAACTGAGGGCTCAGCGTCAGCGAGATTATCGATGGCTTCAGCCTCGAGGATCTACATCATACTCTGTGAAGTGGGCGACAGTAGCTGCTGTTATCGAATCGGAGCTGCTTCATTAAGTTGCCACATGACACTGTCTGACTCTAATGTGTCTCAGCTGAAGAAGATGGAGAGTCAGGGAGGAAGGGGAGAAAGATCTGCAGAGGAAAAGGATACAGGAAGGGCACAAGGAAGGGGATGAGGAATGTTAATAGGAGAATTAGTCAAAAAACAACACTTCAGGGAGGAGGCTGAAGAAGGAGGAGAGAGAAGGAGAACAGTGGTTAGTAAAAATGAACAACTGTTCATCATTTGTGTCAATTAGGGTTTAAACCAGAAAAATCCAAACAGTGGAATTGCACAATGCCCAGATGGTCAACACTCAAACAACAGCAACATAAAGATGGCCTCAGTTTTTTCCTGCTGGGCCTAATTTGAACCTTAAAAAAATTAAATTGAATTTCAATTGACAAATTGTTTTAAATAGATTATACATTTTGTTAGTAGTTTGGCATGGTTTAAAATGTAAATATAAGTTATTGAAAATATAAAGACATCCAACTACCTCTAAAGTTTTCCTTTGATTTCCATGTTGTTTATTTACGTAAGTTACGTAGGTTTTTATTCCCAACAGACTTGGCAGCTAACCAGCAGTCAAATACTTTGTACATTAGTTCATACTTGGCAAATTAAGTTGATTCTAATTCCAAGTATATTGAATAGGATCGGTGTCAAGAAATGGAGATGTTGCCATCTGGTGGTTTTCTTGTCCATTGCAGCCTTCTCATCTCTATCTCGGGTCAGACGTTTCTCATTAACTGAGCTGAAAACAAACTCACTAACAACAGTGTACGTTTATAACGGTAAGAATCTGGAGGCCTGGCTAGTTAACAACAGTCACAGCTGATTGGTCCGAGGACGCGTGACTGGCATCGCTGACTGACACTGAGACCTGATCTCTAGAGTCTTCAATGATCCTGTCCTGGAGGAACAACTGAAAAGAACCATCAACAACATGTTGTCATATTGGGAGACTTTCTGCAAATTGAAGGACGTGGTATGACACAGTGAGACATCCACGTCCACCAGGTCCCTCCCACCAGGTGAACTTTTCACTCTAAACTGACCACAGGTGTGAATGTGAGAATCTGACAGTAGAACATTCATGAAAGAATTCACCAATGTTGTCATTTCTTACATTCTGGAACTGAAGTGCATGTAACTTTTCACAGACTGTTCCTCAGTTCACTTTTTTTTATTACATTTTTATTCATCACAGCAAGAATTAATATAGCAGTACAGGCCACGTGAAAAAATGTACCAAGAACTTTCTCCTTTCCTCTTCCATCCACCAGAGTTGGCACCAAACAAGTTTAACAATGACATTCATGCCTGATATCAAAGTCATTCACACAAAGTCAAATCATTTTTCCACATCTCCGTTCACCCCACCTACGTCACTCAGATTATATTTTATGGCTTTAGACTATGGCAATCTGTTTTCTTCCCCTTTCTGTCCTCACAACCACACACACACACACACACACCCACATACATGTGGTACATTCTTCCAGGGGGCCTGTGACAGTAAAACAAGCAGAAACAAACAGCAGCAGGAGACAAAATACATCATATTAGCACTACGAGCTGAGAAAAACAAACAACAAAGAAAGAAAAAAAGTTCCGTTAAGACTATATTAATGTAAGCATGCGTGCTTGTAGGAGACGAGGGCTGACGAAGATGATCGGGACGAAACCTTCAAACATACGGGTTGAAAACCAAACCACTGAAACAAATTTTCAATCGGAAATGATTCTTATTTTTCAAACTACATTCTGCCTGAAGTTGAACTGGATTCCTGCGTCATCAGTTCCATCTACCAGAAACACAGCTTACATGAACATAAAGAAGGTACTCGTTACTGCGGTGGTTGTGTTGCATGTACTTTCACTCTGAGTGGTGAAACTTTAGTGAGTATATTTGCAGGATTTTTTCTTCTAAATAAACCACTATTCTATTTTTATACATATTTTACTCCATTACATTGATAGAATATTGAATACTGTAAATACATCTGTGTAACATGTGTCCATAGTCAGTATTACTGTGTCATGATGGGTTGTTTTTTCTCTGTTTACATGCATGTCTCTCTGAGAAAAGGAAGGAGACAGGACTGTGCTGTGATTGGTTGGGCCTGCAGGGCGTGGCTGTGACGTGCGCGCGCGCGCACACACACACACACACCTGTGGAAACAGGCAGCTTTGGGGGACTGTGGGCACCAGACAAACCCAGTCAGGCCTTTACACTGGAGGGTAGTGGACACCTCCACCTGGAGTTAACCTGGCAAACTACAAGCTGCTGACAAAAAAACAAGAGCGACACTTGGCCTTTGTCCTGAAATGGCGAGCAGAGCGAGAGCCCACCGCCCTCTTTGATGCAAACAATTTTGTTCAGCCTTTTAGAAGAGTTTTGTTATTTTGTATCCTAGCAAAATTCCTTGTCTTCATAGACAATAATTCTTTTTTATTATTCAAAATAAGATCTCAATATACACGATTCTCTCTTTTTTTGATTATATACAGAAGTGCAAAAATTCAACCTCTACTGCCCCCCCCCTCCACCCTCCCTGTCCTTTGCAGATCTCCTCCCTTGCTCTTAGTAGTCAGCTGAAGAAGGACCCTCCCTTCACCTCGTTCACCTGACGCCCTCTAACAACGGCCCTGATAAGTCATCAATATGCAGCTTGTTTTTCCAACATGGCCCGATTTCCAGGGAGAATAAAAATATTCAAACAATAGTTGCTATTTGAAATGGATACAGTAGAAAATAACGTCTTTACTCTAAACATCTAAGAACTAGATTTTTACAAGTCATGATTTTTTTATCTTATTTTACTAATTACAAACCTTACAATCATTAAAATATTACTTAGCGGACGGCGTTCGTCTCTCTCTCTCTCTCTCTCTCTGTTCTATTCTGTCATCACTCCGAGATATTCATATAAAACAACAAAGAACACATTCAGACCAGGGAAATTCAAATAAATGGTGATAAAATGAACAGCTCAGGAACTTCAACATCATGTTCATGTTTTCGACCTCATGTTCATCAGCAGACAGAGAAATAACTAACGTTGTTAAAGGACATCCCACCATAAAGATAAGAAACCACTGAGGAAAAGTGACAGTGAAATAGTGCTGGGTGGTTTTGAGTGTGTGTCTTTCTGATATAGCTATACCTGTGGGGACAGGTAAACTATACTACAGTAGTGGGGACATTTACAGGTCCTCTCAGGTTGAAGATGTAGGACAGAGTTCAGGAACAGAACTAGGGTCAGATTAGAGTTGGGATTAGGATTAAGATCAGTCTTGAACATTTCCAGGGCTGGGGAATAGATGTCTATGTGAGGTACAAACATGACACAAACAAGTGTGCGTGCATGTGTGAGACCATGAACATGTGGACCAGGCAGCTGGATGATATCAATGGTGTGTCGTATTGTGCCAACCCCACGGTACATTCTAAGGCTTTGGATGAGAAATACAATCGTTTACACTGTAGATTCTTGCCCCAATCCCTGAAACGCCTGAAGCCCCAAAACAACAACACAAGAACAAAAATATTACAGATCTACTCCAAACTATACGTTCTGTTTTGGACATGTTTACATCCAGATCTTTTTTAAAAATTCTTACAACAAAATCTACAACAGTAAAGACTTTGGCCGACTCTCAAACAGTTTTCAGGTAGATGTTTTCAACACACAAACACAAGTGTGTGCCACAATACACACACACACACACACACACACATATATAACTGTCCAAGCTGACCCAATGTAAGCATTGAACATAAGACTGAACACACAAACATTCGTACAAATGAAACGTCTTCACACGCAGCATAAGAAAATAGACACGGTCTTCTGGGTGGTGGGATATCACAGTTCACCACTAGGGGGAGTGCCAGTGGTGGCGTAACAGGTCATGTTCAGTTTAAGCCCAGTTAGTTAAATATAAACTTTGTTCTCTGTTCCTCCTCACAGGAACCTGATACCAGGTTCTCCAGTGGTTCTCCTACTAAAGACTGTTTTTTTTATTTTTTATTGGTACATTTATCCAATCAGCATCTAGCCAAAGATGAATCTATGGAGTGCTGCCCCATCGAAGGCCACGGTAGCTCATACTGTAAGGGAAAATCTTTTACTTAACGTGGAAGAATATCAGTATTGAGTTCATATTTCCAATCTCCTCAACACAGACGTTGATGCCAAACAGACGTGGACTTGAATTCAATGAATTCAAATGAAGAAGTTTAGTTGCCTTCTGAGGAAATCTCAATCACACAGTTTAAAGTGATGTTTTGGACCCTGACCGTCCGCTCCATAAAGTCTAAATTGATTTTCATTCAAATTTCAAATCCATGTGAACGTCGTCAGCACTGGGAGGGTCTTTGGTGTCTTTAGACCACTGGTCCAACCCATAGACCGCAGAACTGCATCAGACGTGGGTTGTGGTTGTGGGCTCAGACTCTCACCTGGTTCTGGTTCTGTTAACTTTTGCCTAGTTAACAGCTAGTTGGCCCATGACAACCTGGTGACAAGTGATGTGGCCAGGTTTTCATGAGACACTTCATCGGTCAGTCATGCTCATTAATCATGCCCCCCCCACTTGTGTTTTTGACCATTGATCTATAAAACAGGACCAGGACTAGGACCAGGACCATGTGATCCAGGACATTGGACGGTTATAAAAGATGTTCTAAATGAAAAGAGGTTGACTGCAGTCGTCCTCTGTCTTATAAACCATCGATGGTCTGGTCCTAACAGTCAGTGGACTAAATGGTCAGTGAGAGGTCAGCGTCTGCACAGGTCTAACTATTCATTAAGTCAATGGAACTCATTCACTCAGGGGGAAGTCGTCTGATCACATGATGTGACGCAGGACACTGTCTATAAAAACACACTAACTAACTAACTAACTAACTAACTAACTAACCAACTAACTGACCAGGTTAAAGGGAATTCGAGTCAGTCACTCAGGTCTAGTTCCATTCATGTTCCTTGAGATGATGGTACTTGACAGGTAGGATCTGCCAGTTCAAAGACACCATGGTAGGAGACGAGAGCTGAAACAACGACCACACACACATTCAGTTGCCATGTAGACTCTGAGTGCACTCGTGTCATGTCCCTTATCATTGGTTTAAAAAATCAAGTGTGCATGCATATGTGGTTCAGGCAGATTTTTTTTTTGTTTGTTTTTGTTTTTTAACCCTAACTGAAGTACAAAGGTGCACCTGTGAACTAATAAACATATCAAAGGTCAAAACAAACAAACAAAGACCATAAATCATCAGTCGTGTTCAACAGACCAACCAATCCAGCAGTCTGTGTTTCAAACGGCTGCGTCACACATTCACGTCATTGTCACATTCAGAGTGTGTCTGGTGGATGCGGGTTGGCGGCCTCTTCTGGGTGAAAGGTGAAGGTCTGTGTGAAAATGGTCTTTTCTGTCTGTGGACCAGTGTCCATGAAAAACACAGGGAGAAAAACTACAGACACTTGGTGTCGACTGTTAACATGCAGATTTATTCCAAACCACCACAGTCTCTTTTTGGTTCTCCTGTTCTGTTCTCTTCTGTCCTGGACGTCACTGAGACGAAGGCTGTTCATCCTGGGCTGGACACCAGCACACACTCCACTTCAGTCTGAAAGAAGAACAACAACATGCAGTAAGAACACTGGCTTGTTGTGAACATGTGTATTTTGTCAGTCCTGCTTCAGGGTCTTTTTCAACTTCAGTAATTCTGAGTTTTCTTAAAAAGCTCAATCAAAATAGGTGTATTTTGTCTTAAATCATGATCATTTGAATGATGAAAAAAGGGAAAGAGGAGACGGCAGAGATTTGTTTATGTTGCGAGTGTTGGTGTTAAAGCAGAGGAAGCCAGAAGAAGAAGAAGGCAGAAAGTATGTAGTCAACCCATCAGCCATTCCAAAGTATAAAGTGTTCAACAACAGGGATGCTAACCCGTCTGTTCTCTTGTTCATATTTTCCTTCTCTTTTGCAGTGGACCACATTTCCTTTTTGTGGTGGAAAACAGTGATGAAAACTAAAAGGCTGCAGAACTGTCTTCAAAAGAGGTGAAGAAGATCAGGGAGGTGTGGGCGTTACTGCTGCAGCGTTAGCTTAGCATCGTCAATATCATCCAGAGAACTACCACAATGGCCGACAGGAAACTTACTACAGTGATTACTGTTGAATCTACAGTCAACAAATCAATGGCAACTTTTCGCTGCTTTTTCTTAAGTACAACTGTGTGTGTGTGTGTGTGAGTACATACTGTTCTGACTGAGTCTCCTACATCTGGGTCACATACTTGTGACTAGTCAGATGGTCGGCAGATATTATTGGAATCTGATTGAGAAGCAGAAGGTGAGGAAAGTGGGAGAGAGAGAGAGAGAGAGTGGGGGAGAGAGACATTGGTTGAAATGAGATCAAACAGCACGTCTTTCATCATCAGAACTAAAGATACGGCTGTTTAGGAAGAACACAGAGATCAGAGATGGGCTTCATGCATTTTTCATTATGAGCTGCAGACAATTTGAAAGTCAGGCTAAGAAGCAGTGAAGGAAAGAAGCAAACCTGATTGGCTGATGCAGTTGCAAAGGGAACACTTGTGGCAGATGAGGTGGCTGCAGACACAGTGGCTGGAGAAGCACCGTGCATCATGGGTACTTGGAGGGGAAAAACCAGAGCAGATTGAAGTTTTTGTTTTTCTTTATTCTCTGCCTCAAAGGCTGCACAACAAAACACGTGACTGCAGAATGGATGAAGTATTTAATCAGATTCTAACACAGAATTATTTACTACTCTGTTCTTTAACTTATAGACGAGTCTTGGTCACCTGAAGATTACAGATAAAGACTAACTCTACTTCTACAGTTACAGCTCAGACAGCTACATCTTTTTTCTGTGTCCATCCATGGTTTAGCAACAGTGTGCTAACAAACCTAAAAAAAATCTGCTGCAAAAAACAACATTTTTATTAATGTAATTCTTATTTGGAGAAAACAAAATGAAGGAGAAAACTTTTTTCTTCTTGACAATGTATTATTCTTTTTAATTTTCTTTAAAAAAAAAACTGTCAAAAACTGTCAGCGCTTTGCCATATAACAAAAAAGAGTTCAGGTTTCTATGTCATCTTCAACCAAACTACAACTGGATTAGGTTAGTGTCAAGTGGATTAGTGCTCGGGATAATCTGAACTGCATCAAGCGTTAGTTGACGCACAGAGCAGGATGACAAAATAAAAGACAACACAGAGAAAAGATCAAAAACTCCTTATTAATTCACAACTCAGGTTTTAACCTTTATCTGGGTGAAACTAGATTAACAGAAAGACTATCTTCATATTTAAAGTTAAAAATCCCCTCAAGCAGAACAAGCTCACACTCTACAGTGAGTTGGATTAAGCACATGTGACTATGGCAACATTCAAACTGCAGGTCTCAAAGCTCAGAAAATTGTACAAATTTAAAAGCAACCAATCAGACTCCAGGCTGAACAGTCTACGTCCTCAAATGACCCCTGTATATGTATAAATATAAATATATAGATATATATGTATATACAGCAGATGTCACTTCCTGCCACACTGCCAACAGACCATTCAGACTGAAGTCTGTTGAATACCATCAGATGTATCTGATGCAGGACGACTTCTAAAGGTCACAGGGGTCAGAGTGAATCTGACGTCTGCTGTTCAGACTGACATGAGAACATCTGATGTGGGTCATGTTCGCCTGCAGTGTGAACACAGTCCAAAGAATCATCAGGAAGAAAAAGCTGGCACCTACCAACACTTGTTGCAGGTGTCATGCACAATATGGAGCCTGTCCATCATGCATTGCAACAGGGGGTGGAGCCAAAAGGAAGAAGAAATCAGGAAAACTCATTACATTACATCATCACATACATCCTTACATTTAAGAACAACTGTTAATTCTATTAACTTTAATACAAATGTTAGTGTTAACAATGATCACAAAGACACTTTCCTGACTTTATAACCACTGCACAGCAGAAAAAAGAGACCAGTGGCAGCAGTGAGTGGAAGATATTTTAACAACCACAGCTGTTTGTTTCTGCTGCTGCACCTATGAATGACCTGCTCTGAAAACTCCATGGTTTGTTTTGCATTGACCTGACAGTCACACGGTGTGCATCACTGGAGGACCTCACACGTGGGATTCGATGGCAGGTTATTTTTAGGCCGTCAGACGAGTGAATATGGGACACGGTGTAAGACGACTCTGTAGATAAATCACAGGGGCTGCAACAAGTGGTGGGAATAAATGTGTGTGTTGTATTTTAACCTAATTTCCATTGATGAAAGTCCCTGAACAAAACAGTTCTCTCCAAATGGTGACGTCTGAAAGTCATCCTAACGACGCAGGATGAGAACAATGACAAGTTGATGAAAACAGTTGCTGATTATCCAGTTCATGATGTTATTTCGTCTCATGATAATGAAAATAATAATAAGCCGCTGCGGTGATTTATGACACCCTGGGCTGTGTCTGACAGGCTGACCTTGCTGCTGAGATTTAATAAAGTCTGATTAAAACGAAAGTCCTTAACGTGATGCTCCTCATTTTAGCTGATGGACCAGACACAATTTTGTGCATCTTTTATATTAATCAGTGAATCTCAATCGTAAATTTGTAGAACTTTTTCAAGCTGCTCTGCCAAAACAACAAGCTCTGAGTAAAAATATGGATAAGTGAGCAGTAATTCTGAGAGTGACAAGGTTGAAAAAAGGACAGAAGTATTAAAATTTGGATGAAAATTAACAGCTGCAGACAAGTGCCTGCCTGTGGTCCAGAGGGATGTTTTATTTATCTATAAAATGTCCTGCTTCTTGGTTTGGAATTAGTGGTAGATGATGGATGGTTCTGTATAAATAACACTAAAAATAAAAATACTGGTTAAAATAAATTAAAATGTTTCAAATTCAATATAAACAAAACAATAAATTTTGTTACATAAGTTGAAAAGAATAAATAAAGAGTCAAACATGAACCTTTCAGCCAGAGCTATACCAGACAAATACTGTACTGTGATAGAGTTATTATATTTTTTTCAGAGAAATACTGAAGATTACACACAGAAATTCAACAACCTACAGATTCATGCCATGACCACTTGTGTGTGTATTTTTTTTTTCCTCAGCCATTCATAGGTGTTGTAAAATCCCAACAGCAGGGTGGGGGCGCTGCAGTGACTGCAGGAGGCCAAGTCTCACCTGATGGAATGAAGGCCGTCTGCTGCTGAAACTGCATGTTGGCCAGGGCCTGTTGGTACTGGAATACACCAGCATTGAACATAGTGGTGGCACCATTGGCTTTTTCTAGTGCAGGTCTCTTTGGTAAAGGAGGCAGCACAGGAGGGAGTCCCTGATGAGGAGATGACACCAAAATATGGGGCGGGAGGATCAGGAGATGGCAGCAGTGTTCAAGACAAAGAGAAAAAAAAGATTCATTAGCAGAGTTTGTTGATATCCAAAAAAAATAAAAAAATAATAATCAAATCAAATCAAATCATGGGAACTCTGGCAAACAGGCAGTGGATCAGAGTAGCCGTGAAGTGGAGCCAGTTGATAAAGTGTCAACAAAACATTCCTTGGCTCAGTCGCATTAGCCTATAATATCATTTTAAAGTGCAGCTCAATAAATAATTACCAACAGGAATGAAGCTGTTAGAAGAAGCTGCACTGCCCAGGAGGTTTGAAAGTGCCAACAATAAATAAATCATTAAATAATTATGTAACTGTGTTATTCATTCATTAATTAAAATACTAATTTTACATATCATGTAAAAATGGATATACAATTATTATTATTATTAGAATTATTCATAACTGTCAAACTAGCCCATGAAAGTCTGTGGGCGGGGCTAAAGCTAGTCATGTCTGATCGGTTGGAATGCAGTGGTACTGACAATAAGACCAGTACATGCTCATGAACTGACTCTCTCTGCTGGTATGAAAGAGACCACCTTTACTGCAACTCATCAATGTGGATTTGTGTGAAATAAATAGTTTAAAGATGACAAGGTGACATTTAATAATGTTCAACGTCTGTACTGGCTGCTGCTGCTAATGCAGCTAAGACTGCTTCACACTCACACAGTACTACTTTATTAAGTATACAGTGCAACAGTACAGCTGGTGGAATGTTGTTGTCCTGTGGCAGAGTAAAAACATCCACACCAGTGAACATGTGTCAGGTTAGCGTTGCTTTTAGCTCACAGGCTAATTGTTCCCGCCAAAGCTGAATTATTTGACCAATAAATAACTGCGTTATCATATATAACTGTGTTATAATTCTGACAGCAGTGTATGTAGGTCTGGACCTGCTCTGTTCTTCTGTACCTACCATGGCCGCAGCAGCTGCAGCCTGGTTGACCTGGTGTTGGGCAGCCTTGATTTTGGCCTGCAGGTGAACGGGGGGGTGGAAATACTTGCACTTGTCCCTGGAGCAGCGGCCTTTGATGTAGTCCATACACACGGTGACTGTGTTGTCGTTGGTGTCAATCATAGTGCTGTCTGCAGGGTGGGCGAAGCGACAGTCGTTCTCCCCACGAGTACAGTTTCCCCGCTGGTATTCCCGACATACCTTTGGTACAAACACACGCACCACATGAATTTTCTTTTTTTAAAAACACACACCTGCAAATGCACAGAGAACATAAACGCTGAGAACATCCTCAAGTGACTGTGCACTCTGTCTCCACAGCTGATGAATGGTTCAGTCCCTGCAGTGGTTCCTAGAACACAGGGGCAGAAACGACCAATCTTCACACCACGCCTGGTCATTATCGTTGATTGATAAGCAGAACAGACTTTAAACAATGTTTACAGACACATCCATCAAACCAACCCTGAACATTATTCAAATAAGATGTGGCGATGTCTCTCTAAGACAGAAGGGGGCAGCAGCTGTGCACAAACAGTGCACACTAAGCCGATAAGAGAGGTCCATGGGACCTTGTTTTATTTACGTTTCCAGACAAAACCAGACATTTTAGATTACAATTACCTTTAATAAATAAATAAATACAATATATAAATATCAAACAAGTGGCCACATGTATTACATCAGACATGGCAAAGAACTGAGTTAGCCCCAGACATTACTACTGTGTCAGATTTGCTTGAACATTTGTCATAAAACGCAATAATTTTGGTAGAAAAGAAACGAATTGGACAACGTCACTTTGAAGTTAGCAAAAATAAAAATTTGCTAATTTAGGATTAATTAAAACATTTGGTCATATTTAGTTTAAACATTTACCCAGAAATATGAATTGATATTTAACATGAAAAAAAAAAAAAAAAACAGAACTAAAGATACATTTGTTAAAGGTATTTCAGGTAGTCACTATCTACACTATCTCTGAACCCTTTTGCAAAGTCATGGAGGGGCCTGAACTATTGCCCCATGTCTTGGGGTGAGGGCAGGTTTCTTCTCCAGTCCATCGTAAACAACCATTCACACTCACAAACAACAACCGATCCACCGCGATTTCAGCTGGAAACTGTTCTGACAACAGACAACTTATGTAACCTTATTTTGTTCCCTCATTCAAACATGTTCCCAAGGATTCAGTTTCTACTGATTCTTGTCTTGACAAAGTGATGCATCACTGTTCTCAAACACACACACACACACACACTCACACACACACACACACACACCGCTGTCCACAGCCACAGCTGCCTGTGTTCAGCTGTACACAGATTGATTCCTGTCCTGTGATTTCATGGTTTCCTGTATCGATCTCTCAGTTATTATGATACAACAGAGCATTTACCAAATGTCTGTTTGCCACTGTCTGCATGCATGAAGGCTTTGATTTGTGACGGAGCTGTTAGCAGACAGAAAGGCCACCGGTGCGGTTATCTACCAACCACTGCTGCTCAGCCTCCTGGAATGACAGCTCATCATCCATCCAATCAGTGGATCAGTGATGGGGGGAGAACTGTGTCTCCCTCTCTGTCTCACATCTCTCTGCCATGCACTTAAATCAACTTTTATTCATTTTCCATCTTCCACAGAACCTTATTCTCAGCCACATCTTTGCTAAAACAACATTTCCTTCACTGACAGACATGAAGAACACTTGAATCTAACAGACTGTATATCAACTAGAAATGGTCGTTAGTTGGTAACAACCATTTATTCATGAACTCATTCATGAAAAATAATCAACCTCCACTGCTGCTACTAGTCTAAAAAACAAACCAGGAAGCTCTGTTGTCAGGCAGACGTTAGAGAAACAGGTGAGGGAGGGAGGAGCAGTCGATGAAGGACAGAGATTGAGATCAGATGACAATGAAATTGTGGAAACTGGGTCTGTCACTCTGAACTGTAGTAAACAGCACTTTAGAGAGTCACAGGAGCAGAGAGAGAGAGAGAGAGAGAGAGAGAGATGGTAGTGTTTACATGGACAAACAAATAAATGGCCTGTTAATTACATCTCTGTCCCTATGGTAACCATCCCAGTGGGACATGAACATCAGCGCTCCTGAAGGTAATCGTCATGTGACATGACGTATGCTGAGATGCAGCAGAGCTGCTCCACAGAGTGAGAGGCAGGAAAAGTATTTCTCTGGAAAAACACTCTTGAGATTTGTCTTGACTAAAATAGGAATTTCTCTGAGCCTCCAGGAGAAACGGTGGGTTTCGTGTCTTCAGGCTGCAATGTCATACAGCCCCAAGAATTCTTGCAATGTTTGTCTGAGCTACACACTAAAGAGTAAAACACTTTGTTTCTCTGGGATATTTTTAACAAACCTAGTTCCTCAGGAATTAGGCTAGGCTATAAATACTTCAATCTAAAAGCTTCGCCGATGCACACAGGCCATGTTGGCCACGGAGAACCATTCTAGAAGATGAGTTCAAAGGGAATGAACAGATTCAGAACAACTCAACCAAATAATCCATTGTCTCAATTGATATATGCATAGTTTTTGTGTTTACCAAATAATATTCCCAATTTCAGGTGCACAACACACTCCAGCCTGTAGGTGGCAGAAGTTTGTTTGCCAGCCAGAAAAAGAGGCAAAGGCCAAAGTTGTATGTGCTGTGTTGGTACAGACACCAGAGCTAACATTAGCTACAACAGTCCTGATACAGACACCAGAGCTAACGTTAGCTACAATAGTCCTGGTACAGACACCAGCGCTAAAATTAGCTACAACAGTCCTGATACAGACACCAGAGCTAACATTAGCTACAACAGTACTGGTACAGACACCAGAGCTAACGTTAGCTACAATAGTCCTGGTACAGACACCAGCGCTAACATTAGCTACAACAGTACTGGTACAGACACCAGAGCTAACATTAGCTCCAACAGTCCTGGTACAGACACCAGAGCTAACGTTAGCTACAACAGGCCTGGTACAGACACCAGAGCTAACATTAGCTACAACGGTCCTGGTACAGACACCAGAGCTAATGTTAACACAGACAAAACCATAAACAGTTTTATTCTTTAACTTGACCCCGAGGTCTATTACTCCATTGTCAAACAAAATTAATTTAAATGCAATAACTTTTCTTCTTCATTGAGTCAAATATTTCCATTTAAAACAAATTATTCCAATTAATTGCAAAGCCCTCCAAAAGCATAATTATTTATTTAAATTGCGTCCACTAGTGACTCATCTCCATGTCAACTCTAACGTCTATAACTTTTTCTCACGACTTGTTGTTTATCTTTGAAATTCCACCCCTTCTGCCCCCTGTGCCTCCTGTGGTTCAGACCCCGGCCCTGAGAACCAGAGCAGGTCTACAGATTGATTCTCTGCCTCCCTCTCCTCCATCTGTAGTTCCTTGTCACCAACCCCCTCCCTCACACCTCATGTCGTCGACTTGTTAATCGAACCAGGGGGCTTTGGCCGGCCTGCCTGCGTTTATTACCTATCTATCCAATGTTACATTTTAAATGTAATCTTCCTAATGTTCCAGCACGCCTCCTGTCTGCCTCCAACGATTACCCCATTATTCTGCTGCCATGCGGTTCCCGGGTGGAGCTTCATAATGGATGAGATCGACTTACTGTCCAATTAATGATTATCTGAACACAGCTTCAGCGGCAGCAGCCACTCGTCAGCTTTCATGACCAATTGTTTTCATAAATGAATTAAAGATTTTTCTGGAAATTACAGGATGGCTGAGGGTTGAAACAAACAACGTTTTCTCACAGTGGCCATCGACAGGCTGCAGCATCGACAGCTGTAATGTTTGTTGAAATAGTTTAATGTCTTTGCTTAAGTCAGGGTAATGACTCTATTATGGTAATGGTGTGGAGTTTACTCCTCACTGTATTTTCTAGACGCATAATTAAAGTCACACAGAGTGTGTACAGGAACATAGGCCTTCCATAACCAGAGAGAGAGTCACAGGCCAAAGTTCAGAGCGGTGAGTGTTTACTGGCAGTTAAAGAGGTTTATCTTTTATTTTTAATATGTGACAAATATGAAACAGAAAGGACGCTATTCATGAATAAACAAAAGGAAAAAGATGAACTCCGTGTGATGACCATAAAGGAAGTTTGACACAGAATTTCTTTATATGCTGTAGCATCATCTTTGGCACTTGAATCTGCCCTACATCAACAGAACCCTTCTATACCAATTATAAAAATACAAAAGACACTTTTAATAAAACACAGTTTTCTACATACAGAAATGTCATCGCTGTATCATGGTTGTATTTCCCAAAGTTATAACAGCAGCACAACATCCCCTTTAATTTAGAGTGTGGTTAAAACACACAC